CCCGGCCTGGCTCCCCGCCGGCGCCCCCTCTGCTACCTTTCCGCCGGAAGAAGGACATGGCGGGGCCCGGGTCGGGGCGGAGGGCGCGGGGGGACTGTCGCGGGGAGGGACCGGCTCCCCTCATTCAGCAACTGGCCCGGACTTCCGGGTCCGCAGCGACTGCCGCACTAGCCTGAAAAGAGACCCTTCTTCCGGGTGTGGGCCCCACCGCCTCCTCCAGAAGCCCTGGCAGCGCCTGCCGCCATATTATCAACAAGCCGCCCGCCTGGAGTTCCGGTCCTTCCCCGCGCGAGGCTTCACGGGAGGTCGCGCCGCCGGCCCCGCCCCTCGCGGCCCCGCCCTTCACAGGTTCAGTCCGGGAATCCGGCCGCCGCGCGCTCAGTCTGGTTCGCACATTCTCGCTGCCGCGCAGTCCGGATCCAGGTTGATCCTGCAGGTTGGCGGCCTCGAGGATCTTCACGCCGCCTGGCAACGGATAAAGCTCTGAGCAGGCGCCTACTCGCTCAGCGCGGAGCGCGCGGGGACGGCGTGAGCCCCCCCGGAGGCATCGGTGCGGGGCTCCGGGCCCCGGGCAGCGGCTGGACTCCCTGAAGGGTGCCGGTGAGTTGCTGCCTGCCCGTGGCCCCTTCCTTTCGCCTGTTCGTGGGTGTGTCGGCCGGTAGTCGTGGCCGCTTCCGGCGAGTGTCGGCTATTAGGCTTGGAAATGCGCGGAGTGCGAGGCTATCGGGCATCGTCTTGGTCTTCCCAACTGGTGTCTAGAGGATCAAAGGGGGTCGGGAGGCCTGACCGGACGCGGGGCTCCACCGTTTGTGCCCACCACTTCTCAGGGTGGGGCTGCACGGATTCGCTGCCCTCCGAGCTAATGACAGCCATTCTGGGCGCGTGTTGCATTTGCCCATCTGAGAACAAGCCGCACATGGCTACCGCGCACCTCCCGGAGCCGGAGCCGCACAAGGGTGCACCGAGCAGATCTGCTGCGACGCAACCCACCGGGGCGGCCTCTTCTCACTTGACAGGGCGCATGGCGTTTGAGGTGCCAACCTGCAGATCTGGCGGTTGGTGGGGGTTTTGTGTTGTTTTTTTAACGGTGGTTTCCGAACAGCTGAAGCATTTTCAAGATGTTTTTGTTCTTTCTCCTCGAGACTGAGTGTCTTGATATAGCCAAGAATCAGAAATTTGAGGACGAGCGGACCCTGCTAGTCCTTTTGGTTATGAATTATTGTACTCCACCCCCCTCTCGACTTTGGGAGGCATGTGTTTCATCTTATAAATAGAAAGTAGCATGTTTTTTTGGCAGGACCTCCTTAAACTGTACAGTCTAGGAGAGGTCAGTTTAAAAATAAATATGCACTTGAATGTTACATTACCGAGAGCCAGGCTGTGGCTGGGACAAGCTGTGTGGACAGCGGCATCAAAGCTGGGAGCGCAGCTGTGTTGAAAGGAGTAAAAGCCCTAGAGTGCAGCCCAGGCTGACAGTCAAGTAATTACATTTTGTTTTAAAAAGAGTGAGTGGATTAAATCGAGGGCGGGAAGAGGAATGTCAGGAGAGTATTGTACATGAATCTTGCCAGCCCTAGTGTATTTGGAGGAGTCACTGCTGAGGTGTGCTGAGGATGAGGTGGGATTCAGGTAAGGAAAGTGCTGGGAATGGGGGAGAGAATTGATGAATGAGTTAGGCAGACAAAGGTTTCCTCCCCACCCCTCCTCTTAGGCTACACAATATCCAAGAGTTGATTGGGGGTGCTTGTCTTGAGAAAAGAACAAAAATTAGGAGCCAACAGATGTCTGTATTTTAACAGCAAAGTCAGTCGCAGGGCTTCCCTCATCACACGAGGACAAAAGGACTAAATCCTGATGCTCCTGGGATATTCCTCAGGCAACTTAAAAGACTCATAAACTATTCCGAGAAAACATTTTTCATCTAACAACATGAAAATGCAGCTTCTCTTCTTGTCTGGACAGTTCCAGAAGTCTTTCTTTGATGCCACCAGACATTTCTGTGAGCTCCTGTTGGGGTAGGGATGTCTCTGTGTCCCTTTTCAGAGTAGATTAAAACATATTTGAACTGGCACAGTTATAAAGTGTTGTTTTGTCACATTTTATGAAATAGGTAGTCAAAGAACCAGGCTGAAAGTTCCTCATTAACCTAAATGTGGGTTTCCTGGTAGGCTTCACACATTGAGTGAAATGCTCCATAGCCACCTTTAGGCTTACCGATAAGAATGTTAGAGAAATTTGGAACATCTCCGAATCCATGGCAGTTTCTGTGTTCCAGTGGTATCATCTGTAAGAGATTTACATTATGAATTCCATGATTGGAACGTGGTGCTGTGGCTGTGGCAGCGGCTACAGACATGAAATAAGATGAGCTCCTCCTTCCCTCAAAATCTGAGCAGTAATTCTGTTTTGTATCTCAATAGAACATGTAAAGACGGCTAGAGTAATGAGTGGTGCACATTTTTCTTTTGCTTTTTATTGTAAATTTAAATGTGCTGCAAGATGAGTAAATACAAAGCCATAAAATTTACTGCAGAAGTGCTCACATGAGCTCGTCTGTCCTCGCTGCTCTCCAGCCCTTTCTTTAATGTGTTTTGTTTTATGTTTCCAACATGTTCACAAAAGCTGCCCTTTGTCATTTCTCAAATTCGTGGTATTCAATAGCATTGGGAATCAAGTTGTTTTAACCTATATTGCCCAAAGATTTTTACCAGGTCATAAATTTTTCATAAGCTCTTAGCCTTAGCGTTTATCCAGTGGGTACAATTCATAACCTGAAAAACCTCCAGGAAGAAGGTAGACTGCTCTAATGGGCCTTTTTAGCTTTTTATTGTTAAAATTCTTGCTTTCAGTCTGATTTTACTTAGGACTGGTCTCATGGCTGTCTAGCCAGAATCCTGTCAACCTATTTTTTTCATTGAATAAGAATTGAAATCTTTATAAATGTTTAAGTTTGCTAGCGAGTAAGTATCATCATTTGAAACTACTGGAGTCAAACAGCCCCACAGTCTTTCCTGCAGCCCAAGAATGCTCCTGTCACACTCCTTGATTTGGGAAGTTAAAGGAATCTCCTACATGGACCTATCCTATGTGCTCAGCACTGTCCTCAACTCTTTCCTTATTAACTTATTTAATAACCATTCTTATGAAGACTGAATGGGAATAACTTCATCGTACAGGTGTGAAAACTGAGGCCAGATCACTTATGACGATTTACCCAAAGTCGCACAGTCAAGAACAGGTCCAAACAGGCATAGGCAATCCAGCCACCAATACGTACATGGCTGAATGGCCAGTCCTACACCAGAGTCCACCTCTGTGTGGAGCCAGAAAGGAGGAGGGAGAAGCCCACAGGTTACAAAGTCTTTCAGTAAAACTGAGCAAATCTCTTAGCCTGTGTACTTCATTTTCTTAATGGGCCTAAAATTATTCTGAGAATTAAATGAGTTACAGAGCACTGGGAACACTCCCTGACCCAGAGTAGGCACAGAAAGATTGATGCTTTTGTTTACTCTCTAGGTGCTAAACATTATTTTCTCTCATTTACTACATATAACCATTCTTTGAGGTAGAGTGTATTGTTCTTATTTTCTAGAAGAGATCATGACTCAGAAAGGTTAACTAAGTTGGCCAGCATGACACAGCTAAGTAATTAGTAGAATCAGGTTTGTGTCACCTTGTACTGAATAACATACGCCTGGGAGGAGGGGCTGGGGAACATCTCAGCTGATGCTGCTTAGGGCTTCTAGCCTGTGTGGAAGTCGCTGTCCGAGTCCCGCTGTCTAAAGGGAAAGGAGAGCAACTGCCAGCCTTAGAAAATGCATCATCCATTATTCTATTCTTAAAGGTAGCTCAATTCCACAAGTTTGCCAACAGTCTTCGGTAGTGGCTATGGCATCAAACTATTAGCATTAGCACAGCACTGTAATTTATACTATAAATGAGATTTGTTGGGTAAAAATGTAGGCCTCGAGAATGCGAAAGAAGGCCCGCCTCCACCAGAACCAGGGAGTAGGGATGAAGGGGGGTTTAATGTGGGTCAGAGCCTCAGAATCCGGGGTGCAGGGCACAGCAGCCACATCCGCTGTGCTTTGTCCTTGAGCCCCTGGCACTGCCTGGACATTTACTATGTATTTGGCAATGAGATTGCTCCAGGATGAGCTAAAGCAGGTGGGAGCCCCAAGTAAGCTGGAAGGAAGGCTGTGTCCTAGGCGGGAGTCACAGTCATGCCTCTGTGCTGGCCCTGCCAGATAAGCTTCTGTTGAGAGATAGAGGGAGGAGGCTCTGAGACCTAGAAGGATGCCTGGGGTTCTGGCCTCACTGCCTTTGACCCTGGGGTCTGTGATGAGCGGAGGGAGCACAATGAAGCAGGGGGTTGGGAAAGGGCTGCTCCAGATCACCCAGGCACCTCAAAACCAAGGCAAGTGGCCTGAGAGCCCTTGACCTTGTTTGGAATCTTCCCTTTTCCTGACCCCGCCTTTCAAAGACTTACAAACAGAATGGCATCTACAAGACAGAATTAGTCGAAGAGTTCTACGGTCACAGGTGTGTTTCTTAAAAAAAAAATCTGTCTTGGACTTGATTTTTTTTTAATGTCAGGTCTCACCATTCTCATGATGGACTGTTAGGCAGTTACTTTCTTAGAAAAGCAGTTTTTAAAATTGGACAATACAGTTCTATCACATGAATTGTGATGGTGATATTAGAAAGTTTACTGTTTCTGAATAGCTAAGCAAAGTGGCATGTTTGAAAGCTGATGATACCCACATTTGTATCTGCTTCAGTGTTAATGCTTATCCAAGTCATAAATTAATAAAATCCTCAAATCCCAAATTTAAAATTAAAAAAAAAAAGGATTTTCATTAACATGTTTCCCAAAAGTCATTATTAACCTTTGGTTCATTTTGGAACTATGTTGCTGCGATCACCTACTTGTACTTAGCTACTCTGGGACCAGCATATACCTTGAGACATGAGTGACATGAGAAGCCAGTGTGAATGAAAGTTCCATTCTGCATGACTTTCAAAGCATTTACCATGCTACCATGTACAATGAACCCACAGAGAGAAAAAGTCCAGAGTTTCTCAATCATTCCGCCCACAGAGCAGCTGGCAAAGGCAGGGCATGTGTGGCAGGAAGCCCTCCAGGATATGCCTAGCCGGGGCAGAACCACACCCACTAGAACCCCATGCAGACATGAAGGGACCCAAGGACATTTTAAGGAACCACAGTGGGTGCAGGTGGAGGGCCACAGAGCCAGAGAGACTCCAGTGCTCCAGAGTCTTAGATTCTAGGATCAGCAGCACCTGTTAGCACAGCTATCTTGCGTGTAATATGTAAAACACTGACCTGAAAGACAGCAGTGTAGGCCTCCAGCAGAGCAGCCTGAGAGCGTGCAAAACAGGGAGCTTCAAAGCCAGGCCTCTATTTAGACAGCTTACACATTTGGGAATCTGTCATGTTCTGGTGACTACTTGAAGGTCATACTTGGAGACACATCATGCCCATGATAGATCGCTGTGTGTTTAGTTGACGAAGGTCCGCTCAAGTCCATTACCATCATTTAGGCTATACATGCTTTTAAAACAAGCAAAGGCTTTTT